GTCGAAACGAAACACTTAGACTCCTTTCCACTCTATAGCGGAAGTCGCGGGAATCCGACTATCGTTCCGGCGGCTTGGGTTTCTCTAATTGGACTCCCTAAAAATTTTAGTTTTTGGAACATGGTCGGAAATTTTAAAAATTGGGAGAAAAAAGAGGATTTCCGCTTTTTTGCGGAAGTCTTTCATCCCTGAATAATTATGTGCACTGTACAGTTTCCTAAGAAAAAAAAGCAAGATAATAACCAATAGTATAAGGGAAGAATACCCTCTTTTTTTACAAGATCACGTGCATACGATACTGATTGCTACTCACTGCTGTACATAATCCAATTGTAGATACGAAACACATATTCTATATGCATTCCAATAGCTGATTTGCCAAACAGAATTTCTGACATTTAAATGACGTATTTAGGAGACGTGAACGGCAAAATGCTCTCCAATGACTCACGGCGATGCGGATTAATATTTGAAACTAAATTCAGGTTTGTCAAATTTCGGACGTTTTGCCGCAGAATGACACAGCTTTGGCAGAAACAGAGCTGAATGTCACAAAATGGTGCAGTTAGCCGTTTTGTCTCAGTTTGTCGCAAATGGCGCAGGCGTAGCATCCCTGCTCGTCTCGATAATAGCTGCTATCTAATGTACTCTAAATAATATTTGTAATTTTAGTTACTTTGCAAAACATTTTATGTTTAATTTCTATCAAAGATTTTTCACAAGAAGTCTTTTAACCACAGATCAATTTTTAAACAAATTTTAAACTATCTAAAATGAGACTAGTCATTGTTTTGTCTGAGTCACTGCCTTCATAACTCTGAGTTATTAGTGAAGGGATTTAAGTCACAGTTTGACAAAAATAAGAAATAAAATGCCTTTTTTCCGAATACTGAATAATTAAAAAGTGCCCATTAAAAATTTTCAATCAGTGTCTACTCTGATCTTAAAAAAAAGAAGAGGGTGATGTAAGTCAGAATTTATAATGTTGAAATAAATCAAAAAGAGAAAGTCACTGCATCCTTTGTTTCAATTTCATACATATTGTTTGATTCTCAGAATGTAACTGCAGACCAAATTATGAACATTTATACTTAATGTTACCCTTTTATTACTTTCGATGATTGCGTGTGGAGAAACACACTTAAAACACTAAAACTCAATCGAAATATATTTTACTACCAACTGTCTTTTGTATTTAATTTGTTTTTATTTTATCGTATAATCTACAGACTTTTTCGTATGTCTTTTTATAATAACATACATCAAACTTTGTTATTATTAAACTTCTGAATTCCTTACCCCCCAAAAAGTTTATTAATCAGATTACCTCATCAGAAGACAATAGAGTGCAAGTAAAATTTCTTTTCCTTCAGAACAACAGAATTCAATCACATTTTTTTTAAGCAACACAGTTTTCTAAAATTTGAAAAATAATAATTTGGTACTCTAAAGGAGTTTTTTCTTTAAATGTTTTTTCACTCTGGAAACCCAAGTATTATGCAGCATTGGATTAACTTTGAAAGAAGTGCAGTTTAAACTTTAAAAAGATTTAAAACTTCTTTGGAGAATATAAAACTTGTTTCATTCAAAAGCATTTTAGATTATAATTAAAATTCAACAATATGCCTCACATATAAGGAGTACTTCTTAGATCCGAATGAAGTATATCAAAATGATATTCTTCTTTGATTTGAAATGATAATTTCCTCTATACTTCAAGAAAGCATAAAACTAACAAGCCTTTAAAGTGCGAGTCAAAATGGCTGCAAATGAGTCATTCTGACAAAAATATAAATGCTTAGAACTTTTGAACCCTTTTATCAATTCCAATATTATCGATATTTTTAAATCAGCATCAAAAATTCTATAAGTGTACAAATTTTTACCAAAATTTGAGATCTTGGGTAATATGGCTGGACGAGCTGACATGGAATGACATAACCATTGAAAAGGTACGTGAGACAACTAATAGCGGTTTGTCAGATTTTATTTCACAGATAACAAAAATCCTATGCAGATTTTACTTTAATCAAAAGAGAAAAAAAAGTTCCTTCTGGTAAATTTCTAGATTGATTAAACTGAAAAGGACGATGCGTGTTTTGAACAACTTTGCAAAGATTAAATCATTCAGATCTTATCAAATCAAACACATGACAGGGTTCTCACTCAATTTCAGAAAAAAAATTCCTTGACTCTTCCAGGTATATCAGGTAAATTTCAATGAAAATCAATACCATATTTTTTTCTATACTACGAAATATTTCATCAGAAAATTTTGACTCTTATTTGTAATGACAAATATTAGATTTTCTATGTGAAATAAATATCATTATGTGAGGAAGGAAACATTTCAGTTTGTCTAAAATGTGAAATTTTTTACAATAAATAATTGTAATAGATGTTAGAATTATTTAACTTGAATCTCAACAACTGAGTACTGTTACTGACAATTTTAAGACTGGTTTTTTTCCAGGTATAATGAAGGAATTTTCCAGCTTTTTGTAAAAAAATTGCAACTTTCCCTGATTTTTGGAGTTGAAATATAATTCCCGGACAATTCCAGGTTTTCCCTGTTCTCCCTGACTCACGGGAACCCTGCCTGAGTATGACAAGGCTGAATCAGAATGTGAAGGCAGAAGAAGGATGCAGCGGACAAATCAAGACAGTAATTTTAAAACTTTGTGCATTGATTGGTCTTAAAAACTGAAAGGAGCTGACGTCACCCAAAATTACTGTTACCATGAATCTGAAATCTGGCTGTAGAAAAACAACAGGCAAAATAGAAAAGAAAACCATATTTCTCTAAAGGTTTGAAGAACCAATTCTTTCTTTGAATGCTCAGTTTGTTCTATAAGCTTTGCTCACTGTGAGTTAAACTATTTTTAGTGACTGCACATCATATTATATTGTGCTTGTCAGTAGATCAGAGAAAAGTGTAAAAGATCTAAATGTGCAATAAAACAAAGGTAGCAATTAAAAAAAAACAATAATAATAAAGAATATTAGAGCAATTTCAAAATAACAGCATCAATACATTATATTTACTTTCAATGTTACTTCCTTCAAATGACATTGTCAGAAATACAAAAAAAGAAAAGAAACTCTTTATGGAACACAAAATGAATTGCCAAATATGAAGTGATTCTCAACTTCATATTTGACCCATCAGCTGAATATTCACCTTCTTTCGAATATCAAATGCACAATTTGACTTAGGTGGGACTACACAGTCTTTAAAATTTCTAATTTAACATTTTATGCTTATTAAGTTCCACAGCTCAAGTTTTATTCCTGCCATTTGTACAATTCATCAGGTTTACAACATTTAATTCATAGTGCATTTAAAAATTCTCCCATTTTATAAATGCAAAAACTTAATACCTAAATCAATTCATTACAATAACTAAGATGTTACATCTGAAATATTTTTAAACTCATGTTGTACTTCATTTGTTATTTCTTACATACCAAACTTTTAGATCGATTGAAATTTTCAAAAACAGACACCAGAGACTCATGAGATGAAATAACTTGTCTTCAATTCGTTCCTGGATTCATAAATAATGCAAATTAAATTTTTAGTCAGAATATTTACTAATTGTCAACTTATTTTTTAAACTCTTGTCAGTAAATTACTTTGTTTGTAAATACTACTTCTTTAGTTTTGGAATTAGTAAACTGAATTTCTTTTATTGAATTTAATTAAGTTTTAGTTTGGAAGCAAGCCATGCTATATGCCTTTGCGAGCAGACCAGAGAGATTCTCCTCCATACACAGAATTTCTTAATGATAAGTTCATCAATGGAAATTTTCTTTTTAATTGAGAGCTTTTCTGGACACTTTTCTGGTTCATAGAGAAACAATACATTATGTAAAAAAATAAATTTAAGAAACAGTTTTATAGCTCTAGAAGAAGAACGGCAAAGAGTAAGGTTACCGACTGAATGGTTGGACAGTTTTGAAAAAGCGTGATATTAAAGAGTAGATGGATAGCTATATTCCATAATAACGGCAGGTGGAGAAGATCTTGAGGTAAAGCAAAGGAATTTTTTTTCCCTTAAAGGAAAACTTTTTTTTAAATAATTGTTCTTCCTTTTTGGAGAGGCACGTAAAAAACCCAAATGTTCAATACAACAAAGGGCCATTGCTACTACAATATGAAATTTTCTGATTTTTTAAAAACATTATTTTGAAAAATTTTATTTATATGTATTTCATTGTTAAAAGGAGGCCTTTTTGGTTTGCTGCCTCGGGCTGCAATTTTTTAATAAACATGTCCCTCCATACCTTATTAGTTTTTCATCACTATTCAGGTATTTCAGGTAGATAAGTAAAAAAGAAATTAGGCAGATAAGTAAAAATGAATAGGAATACACAAAAATGCTTTACCTTTTTTTTTCAATTTAGAATGGATCTAAATATTATTGTGCATTAAATAGATTTTAAAAAGTTTAATATTTTGGACAGAACAATATTCTCTTTAAATTGAGTATTTAAAATATAATTAATTAATTTAATGAATTTTGCTTTGAAATATGTTGGTAATTCTATCTATAAGTAAAAAATACACAGAAATAAATTAATGTTGTGGCAATGTATTTTTTATTAGAGCAGAGCCAAACATTATTAGACAATGGTAAGGAAAGTGTTTTAAGTTTGATTGACTTCCAGCTTATCAACTTTTAAAGAACTATTTTGAAAGATTGTAAAATCTTCTACAAGAACGAATGTGCTACAGTAAAAACTGTTTTAAATCTAATGTTAAATGGATTAAAATTATTAGTACAATTTTTTAGTTTACCTCTGTAAACACTATCCAGTCCTAAGAATTAAAATTTTTTTTAAATAAGTTTTGACATTAAATTATAACCCCCCCCCCAAAAAAAAAAATTCTCAGCATTTTTACAAAACAATTTTTAAAAATATGCTTATTTTTTTAAATTTTTAACATATTTACTGAATGTTTTTTAAACTGTTATTTCATCCTTGGAGAAAATTGTGAAAATTGAATAAAAACAATATGTATACTTACAAATGTATCATTAGAGATTGTCTCTCTAGGTACTTTAATTTTCTTTTTTTCAAACAAAATTTTAATTTATTAATATATTATACCCTTTATTTTACATTAGAAATTAAAACACTGAAATTTATTCATGTCATAACATACATTTGGGATACATTTATTATCTGGGAAGCTGCTGAACTTAAAAATATTTATTTGATGTTGCAGTATTGTTTAGATTGCTAAAAAAACCACGTTCAAGTATTAGAACCCCTGGATACTACAACAATATTTATGACAAATAAAGTCAGTATATTGCAGAAAATGCGTGTGACAATCAAACTCAAATTAAAGACATAATCAATAAAGATAAATACCAGAACCCCAAACATCACTTTCTGCTGCTTGAACAGGACCTTTAGATTGCCAAGGATCCTACATTAAAGAAATAGAGAATTTTAAAACTATTCATTTAGGAAAGTACTTAGTAAGGTGATAAGATACATACTGTAGACACTGGCATTCCCCAAGGGTCTGTACTTTGTTTTGAAGTTGTATGATTAGCTTGCGATGCATTGAGTGCCAGTAGGTCAGAAATAGAATTAGTTTCCTTTGAATCAGTCTTTTCATAATTCTCTTGACTTTCATTAAGAGCCATTTGAAGACGTAGATCATCATTGCGACGAAGTCGTTCCTCTTGTTCAGCTTCTTCTTTACTCATTGCCAAAGCTAACTGAAGCTGCAACTCCTCCTCTCCAGCAGTTTGTGGGCGAGCATTTTCTAATTCTGTACAAACAGCTCCTATTACACAAACATTTTAAAACCAGTAAAACAGAAAGCACATTTCTGTTTGCTAGACTTTTATATGTTAGGGACAAAATGCCTCATAATTTTTTGTTTGAAATATTAAATGAAATTAAACTGAATCTGTAAGGAATCGCTTTAATTATCCATTTTTTAAAAAAGATTTAGTGTTGGATATCAAGCAAAATAATAAAGTAAAGAAAAAAATTAGGACAATCTTGTAGCTACATCAATAATTTAAATTAACATAAATTATATTACATGCCGATAACTGAATGAGCAATGTTTTTTTTTCATGATTAGTATATAAATTTACAAAGCAAAATATCTTAAAAAGTTTGAAATTTTTCTTTTACAATGTATACAAAAAGGAATTCAGTTTAAGATTTTTAATACAAAATAATTTGGAGTTTTGCGCAATTTAAATAGATTTATTTAATCATAGTTCAGTAGAAAATAAAAATACCACTTAAAAGTTATAAAATTGAAAGAAAAAAAAAAAAAGAAAAACCAGTACACAAAAAATTTAACATCTTGAATAAGTTTTCAAATGATTGAATTTTTACGTACTAAGAATTAAGCCTAATGGTTCTCAGGAGTAACCACAAATTAATCGTTGAAGACAATACTTTAAGTTACAAAATTGGACAAAAAAAACAAACACTTTCTCTGAACAAACATACCTTTTTTTAAACGGATTTAGATTCCTGTCTTTCAAAATGTGTTGCTACAATCCGGAAAATATGGTTCGGAATAGTTTGGTGAGATGAGTTGTCGAAGTTTAAACCTCTTAATGTTAATTACACTTTTGGTGTATTTCGACTTATCTCGAGAGTTTTTTAAGAGAACTTTAAAAAAATTTGGCACACAATCATAAAATTCATTTATCTAAAGATAATTCCACACAAAAAATATTTTTTAATAATTCATAGAATTATAAGTTCGCCAGAGATAGAACATTCTTTTTGCTCATGTTATGTTTTGAAATCTGGTAAATACATATAGCCATACTTGGTTAAAAACTTCCTAGGTTTAAGAAAATGTAAAGATGGAGCATATCTTATTTCTTTTTCTAGGGATTATTTATTAAACTGGTTGATATTTGATTTTTCAAACACATGAATGTAAACCAAGAACCCGAACTGTGAATCATAATGTTTGATTTTCAAATTGCGTCAATACGAAGCATGATGCTTAATTTTTAAATAGCGGAACTTTGAATTACGATATTTGATTTTAAAAATGCTTGAATACGAAGCATGTTATTTTAATTTTTACACAAGTGAATATAAATAGTGATGTTTGATTTTTATAATATGTGAAAACAAATAGCGATATGATACTTGATTTTTAACACACATAAATATGAACCATGAATTCCTATTTTGAAGTTGTGTGAATACAAACAATAACATTTAATTTCTAAATAAAGTTTGTTTTTAAAATTGATTGAATAAAAATTCCTTTGTTTGATTTTTAAATGACAGGAAAACAAATCCTAATGCTTGATTTTAAAATCATGTGAATACGAATTGCGATATTTAAATCATAGGAATATGACTCTCAATGTGTTAATTGTATATAATATTCAGTCAATGTAGATTTCACAGATCACGTAGATTAGACATCCCAGTGTGTGGCATGATGAGCAAAACGCAATTCTTGAAGAATAAAATCGAATATGAAGAAATGAATCTCACGCATTAACTATTAAAACTACATGCAGAAAGTTTAACGCAAATGATAAAAAAATTAGTTGACTTATTAATGAAATAAATTTGAAATAAAGTACAGCTATGTATTAAGGATGACAAAATTAATGCAACAAATTTAAGAACAAAATATTCATTGTTTATTAAACAGACAATTTTTTTTTTATGGAAATGATGATTAGCAACAAATTTAGACAACTGGCGGCATTACGAACAAAATTCTCCAAAGTAATAAATTATAATAATCAAATGCCAGTCGCTTGGCTGCTAGGCCATTAAACCACAGACTTTCCCATGTTTTTTTACTTGACTAGAGAAAAAAGATAGTGTAAGACACTCATCCAAATGAAAAGCAATTATATCCTTGTCAGTCATACAAAGAGAACATATAGGAAAGTCAGCAATGTTTAAATGTAAAAGATGGGCATGAGGACAATCATGTCTTTTAAGTGTCTAAGAGTTGTAATTGTAGCCACACAATATGAAACAGGAATAAGCTGTGGTTTAGAGAAGAGTACATTCCAAGGTCTTCCCCTCGAAAGATGCGAAGTTATTTTACAGGGAAAGCACTCGGGAATCTAGATCCGAAAATTCAAATTTTCATGAAGTGGCAAGTAGACACTAATAGCTTAGTAGCCATTTTATCTCAAATCAAATGAGTTACTGATCGATATCGATAGATATTTTTAATTTAATAGTCACTTTTGCAAACTTTTTTTTGTTGCTTTGATTAAATTATATTTTTAAAAAAATTCATATTAGAAATAAAACATGGCTATAAAAAGCTAATTAAATAATAAAAATAATATATATATATATATATAGGAAAAAAAATTAGCAAAACATACTTAGTCAATCATACTGAAATATTTGGGTAGACGAAATACATTTAATGTATACATTATAACTGTGAAATATGTGAATTGTTAAAGAATCCTCCTTCCACATGAATTTTCCATCACAAATTGATTTGTTTTTCAGAATTTTTCTGCACCAATGTACTTTTATCATTTAATGAATACAAAAAAAAAAGAAAAATGGGAATCCTAGCTTATTCCAATTTAGCTGAACGGAATCCCAAGTTCCCAGAAGGTGTTTAGGGAACTAAAGATTTCTTCTTGGCAAGGTAGTCAGCCTTATTTCCTGCAATGCTACAGTGGGAGGAAATCTACTGAATGAACACTATTATGGAAATTCTTGAGCAAATTCCTGCATCGCAGGGCAAAGGAATTCTTAACCAATTTATTAGAAGAAATAGCTTGTAGTATGAAAATAAGACAGAAATGAAAGTAACCAATAACAAATTCTTTAAGTTCTAACTCTAGTGTTCACTTTTGCCTCACAATCATCATCGCTATCACATTATTACCTCGGGTACTAAAAACTTAATTGGAAAAATTAAAGTATACAGTTTTATGATTATAAGAATGAAAAGGAAGTGCTAACATTTCTTACATATTACCTTTAGCAGATGGTAAACCATCAGGAGATACATCAGTAGAATCTTTTCCAGTTGGGGAACACTGCAAAAAAAATATATATATAACTAAGTAACAATCACATAACTGTCAAAATATAATAATAAATATATACAGGGTAGCACCAGGTCGACTGACACATTTCATATTTTAATATTGTACAGATATAATTATTTATATTAGTTGGCATGGTGGGAAATGTAACTGAAAAAATCCCATGTTATATGACCAGTTCCAACAGAGCACAGTACATTCTGTTACCTAAATTTATACTTAATATGAAACTAAGTCTGGGACTAAGATTTGTAGTGTGCCAGAGAAAATGTCATGATGTTTTTAAAAAAATTCAGAACATTTTTTGGAACAATCTACATACACCAGACTACTTTTCAATGTACATATACCAGATTACTTTCAAATTTCAATATAAAATACTCTGAACACGTCACTTAAAATTTTTGTACAAAAGAAATTTCGTGTATGATCCTTCAATTCCTTTAAAAATTTTATATGATAAGATTACTGTATTGTTTAATTTTTTTGGCTAAAGAGATTAATTAAAAATTATGAAGCTATGATTCCAGGGTACAAGATTTGTTACTGCATTTGCTGAAAATAACAAACATATAACCCCTGAATTTATCATAAAAAATTGATATTGTGAAATTGTTAATTGAGTTTCTTAGTTAAAAACTGATTGAATTCCCAGAAGCTTGAAACAACAAATTTCGATTCAACAATGAAACAAGGCTATATGCCTGAACCATGTATATAACTATATTATAAACGATTTGAATTCTGCAATTTTAGTAGCATAATTAATTAAAATGAAAACTTGTTGGAATAAAAAATCCAAATAATTTGATGCTTCAAATTAATTATTTTGAAATTGTCATTGGCCCTGNGCCATAGAGGCCGAAGTTGGCAAATTTCCAAAAAAAATTTAATAAAGGGGAAAAAAATTCTCCCCTTTTTATCCAGTAACTGTTTGTGTTGAAGATTAGCGGATAATTACGAGCGTTTTCTCCTTCCGCGGTACGCTAGAAAAAAAAATATTTAAAACAATTCTGTAAGAAAAAAACTTTGCAGAACCATTATTGCTTCTGCAGAAATTTTTTGTTTCTATAGAAAATGTTTTTTTTTTTTGGGTTAAAACAGCTTCTGTTTCTGCAGAATCTTTTTTGAGAACTTTTGTTTGTGGCAAACCAAAAATTTTTATTTCCCAATTAAAAAAATCTTTCTGCAAAAACTCAGTCGCTTTCTGCGACAATGTCGCTGTGTTTCTGCCACGGGGGTCATTGGTATTCATAAAAAATGGGATGTTCTGAACATACACACAAACACAATATCAAGACCAAATACTTTTATCAAGAAGATAAAAAATATCAGGGCAACTACAAACTCTGTTGTGACAGAAAGGCAATGTTTTATAAGATAACAATTTGTTGGTCAATACAGCGTTGGGTTCGATTCTTGAAAGACTGTGTGTTTAAGGCTTATTTCAAAATTTAAACATGCCCTCATTGACCAAGTTACATCTATTAACATCTTGCAGAGGCAGATGTTTAGCAACTTTCAGAATTGTCTTCCTAGATGTTGGAATGTAAATGGCTTATTTATGAGTGATTAATAACTATACCATTTTCTTTTTGATCAATAATGTATGCTTATTTGAAAGGTTTTAGTCGGCTTGATGCTCACTTTTACATTAATTAACTGAGAAGCAGAATTCATACAGTATGTTAATGGACATTGCAGATAATTTGGAAGTTTTGCAGACTATTTTTATTGACACAGAACAGACTTCTTGGAAGAAAAAAAATGCTAGGAAGAAAATTTTAAAATTCTTTAAATCATGAACAGGATCAAAATATTAATCAAATAGATTTCTAGTAAATAATTTCCAATTATTGCATAGACTAAGTTCAATTGACAACAATTGGAAGAATTTCACTGAAAACCAGCATTTGAAAATCAGTTTACGAGGTTTGATTGCGTATAATTTTTGCCTTCCATAAAATAGAAAATAAATACAAATTTGAAAAAGGCACAAATTAAAAAAAAAATCTAATTAATAGAATATCAAACAAGATTAACCTTTTTGGGTACCAAAAGAACCTGGAAAGGTTTTTTTTTTTTTTTAAATATGTGACCCACATAAAAAATTCACTTACTTCATTCTCCCAAAAAATTTGAGATTTTAAATATGTTTTGTTATATTTTTTGAATAAATTTTAATGAATCACTTAAAAATCCAACTGTTAAAACTTACAATAATGAAAATAATCAATAGATTTTATGTCTTTTCTAATGACAAACAAGGTTAAACTAATAAAAGACAAAACAAAAAAAAGGTTAAACTAGTTCTTACAAAAAATTATAATTTAGAATGATATAAACAAGATGCTTAGTAACTTTAATTTTATTGATAAAGCTTTACAAAATTCAGCACTTTTCCCACGTTCCCTTATATGCAGTTTATTTAATTATTATATTTTATTATTATGAATATAAGCTCTCTAATACTAGTGTGAACATAAAAGCTAATCAGTAGATAATGTGATTGGTAGTAGATAATGTGATCTTTTTTTAAATAACCCCCTCCCCTCCAAAAAACAAGTACTTTTTTTTTAAAAAAAAGGGGAAAAAATACCTGGCATGTTCTGTGTTTTTGCCCAGATTTTTTGGAACTTTAAAATTAAAAGTACAAAAAACGTTCTAATACAAAATCATTTTAAGTCCTCTCCCAAGAATTAAACTTAAAAGACTTATGCCTCATGCATTGAACAATAAAAAGATATTGATATAATGGCAAGAGACATTAAAACTTATTTTAATCTTAAACTATTTAAAAATTAGATATTAACTAATTAAAGTAAGAAGATTACAAAAATATCAATTTATATCAAATTCTTACCCCACCGGCTGCTTCACTGCCAGAATGAGATATAGACTGCGCAAAACGTTCCTTAGCCTTTAAGGCTCTAGATCTTTCACTTTTAAGTCGTTCATCATCTTTTAAAAGTCCAACTAATTGTCGAGACTTTTCTCTCACATTCATACCCTGGTCCTTATTTTCTTCAACATATTGAAAATCTTTCAGGGTTTGAATTGCAAAAATATTTTCTTTGCATTGCTGAGCCACCTATTATTGGAATATAATAAAAAATATTGATAAAATAACTTATTTGAAAGGTTTATTACAATTACTCTAAATCAGTGTGATTTAGTTAGTTTTACATGCTGTGGCTAGTTATTGAGTAAATGAATAGAGAATAAATAATTGAACTATTTTTTCTGTAAGTAGAATAAAAAATTAGTTTGAAAAAAAAATAGGACTTAATATTGTCTCATTATGAACTATTGTCTTATTATTATTTATTATTACTATTAAGTGTTTTTAAGCAAAACATCAGTTTTTACTTTGATAAAATACACACTTCTAAGATTATGGAAGTGTAGAATGTGTCTCTAATATGTTTACCAAAAAAGCCTTGCAAATTTTTAAAAAATAATATTTACAAAATTAGAACAAGCAAAGTTATAATAATCAACAGTTTAAAGTGTAATAGAAAATAAAGCATAATGAACTTATTTAATGTACCTTTTCTGATCCAGTTTTGATTAAATATTCTAGAAGAACTAATGCCTTATAAACATGCCTCCAGTTCTTGCCATGATCATTTAAACGTTTCCATATCATTTGCATTATTTCTGAGAAAGCTACTACATTATAAGTCAAATCTGCAATTTCACTCATTAAAGTACTGGATGGCCCCCATGGATCATTTGATGTTGCCTCTCTAACTTTAACTTGAGCATCAGTGTAGTTTTTAACAACATTTTTCACATTTCGACGCAGGCCCTGAACATTTAACATGTTGGTTAATTCTCTTCAATGTATTCCACACAATACCTTTTTTTTCAAGTTTATAATTTCACATTTTTTTGAAGCCTGAGTAAAAGGAAACTAACATGAGACCTAAAAAGAGAGTCATAAGACATGAAACAGTTTATAATTGCAAGATTATTTTAAACAAATTTTTAAACATAACTCAGGTATTATTTGTTCTACAATTTAACCATAAATTAATACAATCAAGTCTCATACTAAAACTGATTAAAAACAGTTTCTGATTAGCATTTTAATTGCAGCTAATTCAGTCATACCACTAAAGTGTGTATCAAAAAATAATCTAATAATTATATCCTTTTGATGATATTTAGAGCTGAAATTTAAATTCCATAAAATTCTAGTAACCTGAAGATGAACCCCCTCCAAATAAATAAATAAAAATATTTGTATCATTATTCCAAAGAATTCCTTGATCTGTTCCCACTTTTACCAATTTGAATTTATAATTAATTTAAAAGCTAAAAAAATTTAAGGTGTAAGCAAAAAATTCAATAGAAATATATTATTTTAAAAAAATTCATATTAAAGATACCCATTAATTAATATTACTACATTCAATTCTATACTTAAGTATATATTAGAGCTTTTATAGTAGTTTTTTCATACAAAAATTAAAAGATACAAGATTATACATAAATGTTATAAGCACAAAATTAATAATTTTTTAATAAAACTTTAGTTATTAAATGTAAACCTTAAACCAGGGTTCTCACTCAATTTCAGGAAAAAAAATTTCCTGTCTTTCTTAGGTATATCAGGTAAATTTCAATGAAAATTCAGACTATTTTATCTATACCATGTAATTTTTTTTTTGAAGACTTTTATTATTTTTTTTTAAATTTGTAATGCCAATAATTAGATTTTGTGAGCAAAAACAATATCATTGAATGAGGATGGGAACATGTCACTCGAAAATGTGAAATTTTTACAACAAATTGTAATAAATGTTAGAATTATTAACTCCAATATCAATAACTGATTACTGTTATTGACAATTTAAAGACTGGTGATTTTCTAGATTTTTGTAAAAAATTGCAACTTTCCCTGATTTTGGTTGCAAAAATAAAATTCTCTGACAATTCTAGATTTTACCCGTTGAACTCTTTAAGAAAACAATACAGCTGCTGCACATCATAAGATTTACATTTAAATTAAAAAAAGTAGAGTTACTTATTAAAATCTCAGTATATTTAAATCCTTTGTTTTGATTTTTGATTTTAAAAAAATTATCAACAAAAATATTTTAAAAATCAATTTAGTTTAAAAAATCATATAAAAACTAATGACGTAAGTAATTTATAAATAGTAAAAAAACATTATAAAAGTAGGCTTTAATCAGAGAAAGTTAAAAGTCTATTACAGTTTATATACCAGATTTTAATGTGGCCTCCTAGTGAAATTTATTTTTACATGCATCTTTTCATAAAAAATGTGCATCTCTATCATAAATCCTAGTAGCAGAATAAGAAAACTTTAAAACTGTATTTTAAAACTTCAATTTTCTTTTAGTAAGTAAGAAACAAATTTTAATTTAAATAAGATTTTTAAAATTTCATACTTTTGAAAAGTTGACATTTATAAATAAAGACAATGAAATAATTTCCAAAACTAACCAGATGTTGTATAAAAGTTATGTCTAAATGGTCATAGGTCCTCAGAACCTTTTTTTAATAACTATAATCACTAAAGTTATAGGAAAAAAAAAAGATATATCTGAGACACAAAAGATGCAGCATTACTTTACATTAACATTACATAGGCACTTTTCAGGGTTGGGTTTTTGACGTCAAAAAGTGGTTTTTGACATGACAAGGGTATAATACTGGTTTAAACCGTCAAAAACTGAAGTTTGCCAAGAAAATATATAAACTTCAAAACTACCAACAGTTGCCATGCATTATATTGAAATTTAATTATACTATAGGTAATCAGCAGGTTTTAAAATATTTTTTAATTAAAATTAAGGTAAAATAACAGATTTAAAATCTCAGAAATTTATATTCAAATGCATGTGCAGAAAAATTTTGCACAAAAATTGTTTAAATATTTATATTTAAAAAAAAAATTTTTTTTTTTTTGATACTTAAGAAAATTAAAAGTTTATTACTATGCATTTTTGACATATAAGGAACATATAACTAATATTTATAAGGAACTTACAAGTTATGTTGTATAAATACAAACTTGATACAAGTGTATAAAAAAAATTTTTTAATGTTATACCGAATATCTTTATTATCCAGTATGTTAATTTGAATTTAAAAGTAGTTATATTTGTGAATAATGATAAATATAATTCATATTGTTTATTATATTTATTTATAATTATTACACTTATCATTTTAAAACAATTTTTACCTCTTAATTTTTTCCCCCACTTGTATTAAGAATACAAATAATGCATATCTTGAAAGCAAGAAGTAATTATTCAACAGCTGAATATTTAGATATTCAACAAAACTATGTATATAGTATTCAGCAAAATGAAATTCACAAGTATTTGGATAAACTAAATTTTCAGCATAGTAAATGAATAGGCTGAATATACTGTAAATCGACACTAACTACTCTGTGTATTTAACAGAAAGCACTTAAATTTGTATTGTCTTATGTTAAAAAGATTATTAAGAAGATTTAAAAGAATATTAAAAAGATTTTTCTTTAAAAGATGTCTAATGTACAAAACTGCTAATGTTTATCTTTAAAAATGTCTAATTTTTAGTATAATCTATACTATACACTAAATTTGGTTATAAATAAATTTCTTAATAATATCACTGCAGATTTTCAATAACACATGAAAATGAATACATAATATTACAAAAGATGTGAGCTTTCAAAAGTACAAGATTTTGGTTACTATTCAAAATATAAGTGTTTCTTCAAAATTTTAAATTTATTTTTTCTAGAACATATTTAGAAACACTATCCTTTATAAAAAATATAAATTTTATGTATTAATTAAATTTCACATATGAATATAGGTTTTTGACGTGACGGTTTAAACCGTCAAAAACTGTCACATGTCAAAAACCTGCCAACCCTGGCACTTTTAATAATGGAACACAATATTATATGTACACAAATTTTCATCACTTTTTATCAACTAGAAAGCACAGCTTGATAAATTAAAACATAATATTGAAATAATTTAAAATTAAGTTCATTGAACAGTTTCAGAAATTTTAGTTCTGAAATATTAGCAAATATTCAATAATAGCATTTTAATTCTTAATTTTATGGATTAAATCAAAAACTGGTTTTTGATAAGTCAAGTGTCAAAACGTGTTTTAAAACATCAAAAACCTAGATTGCTGAATCAACATTCAAAACAGTTGATAATATAAACAAATATATGGAAATATGTAACTAGCAATACTTAAAGTTGAAATTATAGTTTAAAGCAAATAAAAAAAGTTATTTTATCTATACTCATATTTTCTTTTGTTGTTTTAGTTTAGAGTTCTAATATTCTCAAAGAATGTGCAATTTAATCAAAATATACAGCAATTTTTATTTCAGATCTCATATTATTGAATTAGTTTTAACATTAGATTTGTTATAATTTCCAAGTTATTATAATTTTTTTTTGTATATATTTGTCTTACACTACATAAAATTCAAATTAATAAAATGAATTAAGTTAAAAACATTATTCGTTAAAGAAAAAATTAGTTTAAAAAAAGAAACAAATTTTAATACAATAAAAAATAGGAAATGATTCTGAATAATCTGCGCTTTGTATAAATTAACTTTTAAAATTCATATCACTTTTCTTTTCATTGTAAGGCAATGGATACCATAAATAATTAATAGCATGTTTAAAATTTTTATTAGTAGAATATCTTCCTTAAAACAACTTTACAACTGTTGAGTAATCAACAAATTTCTTGTTACATTATAGAAGTTAGGTATATTCAGGTAACAAGAGCCAAGACATTTTCTTTCCAACATATGTTATATTGCATAAGATAACGTATACTTTATAAATATTTGCCATTAAACAATATCCTCAATGAGTTACAATATTAATAATGCTTATACCAATATATGAATGTAATTTTCTAAGTGTTTGACGCACGGATTTTTGGTTAAAAACCGTCAAAAACTGCCACATGTCAGAAACTTGCCAACCTTGATTAACTTTTCCATTCTACTTTCAAATTCTAAGCCATTTCCTTGTTTTCAGGACTTATTGAAATATTGTTTGCCTACTTACTGTGGGAGATAAAAATTTGGCCTCCCCCTCATGAAAAGCATTGAATAAAAGTTGGAGACAATTAGTAATTTAACTGTAAAAATAAAATAAGAAAAAATTAAAAGCTAGTGAAATTCAAAAATTATTTACACTTTCTACACCAATATTTGAAGCTGCTCGCTATTTGAAGAGTTTTAAGATTGATTCTCAAAGACCACTTCTTAATGCTATTTTGTCACTGACCAAAATAAACATAAAATTAAATTAAAATATTAAACGAACAACAAACACCAGAAGTCTTTAGTGCGTAACGAGGTTCATTCCAGTAAGGGCACTCACCTTTAATTTTTAAATTAGCGCTATGAATTCTCTGAATAGAACAATTTACAAGTAGTTCCATGTCAAATTTTTCAGCGAAACTATTGACAAATTATTATGATTAATCAGAACCGGTAAAACAATATTTACTCAAATAAACAATACTTTTTTTGACACAAGAGGAGTTATCCATGTACAGCAATGTTTTTATTATTATGATTGACATTGTTGCCAGAAAAAGAAATTACAATTTTTCGACGTTATGACAGAGAGACAAAAATTCTATACAGAACCTATTTTTATCGACGACTTTTGCTTGGCTACCAGACTTTTTAATCAAATACACCATCTTGATTGGCTGTTACTACTATCGTTTTCATCGTTATTGCTTAATCGTTGTTTCTGGTTTGTAACATTTGGCATTACTATCCCTAACTAGAGACAGGGCCGGATTTAAGCTTGGTGGGGCCCTAAGCTACTGAAAATGATGGGGCCCTCATAAGTTCAATTCCATTTATATACACCTAAAGTAAACTGTCATTATTTTTTATTGTTGAGTATTAACATTATATTATTAAAAAATTTGATAATATTACTTTATTGTTAAATATATTAATTGTGATAAGACTATTATGTAGAACCTTTCTTTTATTGCACATATTTTTTGAACGAGGGAAAAAAGTTACGAAAAAAAGACATTTTAAGCACAGAGTAAAAATTAGGGGTGCTGGGCCACTATATATTTAACAGAGTTTTTTTTTTCTGGATTCATTTTGAATATATTTTATTTGCAATTTCTAATGATTTTTTCGCGAATTTTTTTCTCAATTGTTTTTTCTTTACGTTACAAAATCTATAAGACTTAGAAACATGAAATTTTGAATGTGCGTAGAAAATATGCAAAGAGTTAGAAAGAAAGCAAGAAAATACAATTTGATTATTAGTTTTATTTTTTTTATAACCGCCGTTGAACAACCGACTCAATTTTGAGTTTACGGCAACCAATGTTTAACTCCGTAGCCTTGTAATTTTCAACCCAATCCAGAAGACAAGGGAACTGCTAGATTAGTAAACAGATGTATTTATTTGTTACGAGAACTTTGAGGACTTTGTGACCCCGACAGATTTAACATTGCACTAGTCACCATTTTATACTTGGGTATTCTTCTGCCGGCTGGATTCAAACTCCCATTCTCACGAACACGAGTCCAACGCCCTACCAACCAGGCTATCCCGGCCAAATTTATTAGTTTATTTTAAAACAGTCATTGCACAACTGACCCAATTTCGAGTTTACGACTACTAACATTCAACTCCGTAGCCTTGTCATTTTGAACCCAATCCAGCAGTCCCTGGAGCAGGTGAGGGCCGTTATATTAATACTGTTTGTAAAAGTAAAAAGAGCATTTCGTAAGCTGATATTATTTAATTGATGTTTATATTGAAAATATTTGTTAAATTTTAGTACAGCAAAAAAAACAAAAACAAATTGTCATTGTATATGCCTTAGAAGCAGATATTAAATAGTCTGATGATCGAATGATGGGGCAAAAAAAAACTTTTTTACCTTTTAAACTAAAAATTGCTTATTTATAAATAATTTATTAACACTCAAATTGCTTGAAAGATGATAGGTTCCTTACTAAGGACAACGAAGTTTTTTGTTTTATTCAGTCATATATTTCTATTTATTATGTCCGACAATGCAAAAAAGAAAAAAAATGCATTTTGGGCTTCTGAGGGCCGCAGCTCCGAATAAAACTTTAAAAAAAGAGGGGGGAAAGTAGGATCTGGGGCCCTTATCATCTCGGGGCCCCAAGCTACAGCTTATTTAGGTTATACGTAAATCCGGCCTTGACTAGAGATCAAGAAAAATCCGAAAATTTATTGAATAAATTGTTTGACTTATCCCCTTGAATATTTTGTTTGACAATGGAAGAGGGGATGGGGGTGATAATGAGGGAAATAATTGCTGGGGGAAATATTTCAGGAATTTGTTGTTTCTTTGTCCACTTGAGCATTTTCTGCGAGTGTAAATGGATTAGAGAGTTTAGCTTGTTTGGAAGTATTTTTTTAAAAATTTAGTGTAATTTTTGTTAAAAAAAATTATTGCGAGAAATTTTCTGCCTAATCTTCTCTTCTTTTTCTTATGTTAAATTTGTTTATGTATTCAATTATGCATATTGATTTACGAGTATTTGTAATATTTATTTCAGGAGAAAATTTAATTATGGAGTTATTATAGTTATGGCATTGGATTGCTGTGAAGCATTGAGGTCCGAACTGCAGTAGCAGCTTAAAGCCCACCCAGCTTGCCTGGGAAGTGAAGGCGGGCCCGAGTGCAACATTGACCACATTGCCCCACTCTGACTGTTGATCACGAAATAGTGAACCCTTAACTTTTATAAACCCCTGGCCCACAATGGATTGTTGCGGGAATGTTTTACTTTTATATCATGGAATAAATAAAATAAATAATCAATCATTTGAAAAATGAATATTAAATAAAAAAAAGAAAAATTAATTTTAAGCAAAGACGTAACTTAGCAATATCTCCCGAATCGAATAAAAATATAATTTGGTAATCGTCAAATCTCGTCGAATACTGAATAGGAATAATATATTCAATCGTACTTTAAAATGAAAATTACGGTTTCAGTGGTTAAAAAAATAATTATAAATAAAAAAATTTCTAGAACTATTTAAAATTAATTTATTTGTTGAATTTGAAAAGCCGAAAATAACAAAGTAGATTCAAATATAGTAAACGTGACTTTACATCTAATTTTTCCAGTCAATAAATAAAATAAAACCAACATATAAAGTAATGAAATAAAAATGATTATTTTAAAATTTTTGATAATTTGATACTTGAATTAATCTTTATCTTTTTCCTCATAGCATTGAAAGAGCCTCCTACCAATTTAATAGACACGTAGTTTTTATCGCTGTAAAGCTCTTAAGATTCTCTTTTATAATTTCAAGAGGGTTTTTGCACCTCACCCTGCTCGTTATCAGTGGCTAACCCCGGAAATGTTACCTCAGTTACTTACGAGTATGTTTCTCACTACTATGTTTTATTTATTATTCCAATTTTTATACTTCGTAATTTTTGATTGTTCATTTTAATTACGTTAAAGGCTACGACAGGCTGCTTTTTATTTCTGATCAATCCTCAGTGTTTACTATTTAATTACTCCAAATAAATTAAAGATGGTACGAAGTACTGTTCATAATTTCATTGTTGCTTTTTAAATAAAAAGAGACAAAATGAATTTTTATAAATATGCTGAATGGCCAAACAAAATTTGCCGAATAGTGAAAATCTTTGGGGGCCCCAGAAATCTCCCGTGACATCCAATCACTGCATCCCTTAGTTAATAAAAAATATCTATAAAGTGTAACTACTCGCTAAAATTTAACTAAATTGATTAACATTAAATAAGGATTTATTAGAATTAGTCACATAATTTTTAACTGTTTACAATAACATTTCTTAATCGAACATTTCTTAACCAATCATTCCAACATCACACCATTGATGCATTCAAATTAAATTAAAAAAGGATGTAATATGAAGAGGAATGAGGGATTTTAGAGCACTTAAAAGCAACTCATTTAAGAAGGCTCTGTCTTAGAATTCAAAAAATGATTTGTTATTAATAATTTGTTGAATTTAATTAGAAATTAGGAAACAATTGGAATTGTATTTTCATTCTATTTTTAGTATGTATTGCGTATTTTATTTTACTAATAATAGGGTAAAAGAGAGGATGAAGATGAATTGTGGCATTGGTTCTTTATGGAGTAGTATAGTTATGTTAGGTATTTATAGGTACAACGAATTTTTTATATCTTTATATAATAATGAAATGGTATGAAATCGAATAATCAGTGGTCGGAACTCTGAAAAAGCTGGCAAAAACTTATATACTTCGATAATATTCTCTAAAAATCATAAATATAAAAGTTTTAGGGGGGGGGGAAGGGGCTTGTTATGAGTCTAAGGTTAGATTTTAAATTTTAAAAATTGTGTTTAAATGTTAAAAAAAAATCTAATTAATTTTTATTACTTCGAAAAAGTTATATCTTATTGCATTGTTAATCTATACATTTAATGTTGATATGTAACTATTATGCATATATTATCCAAAAATCATTACGATAGTATGGCGATTAACAAAAAAAAGTAAAAAAGGTAAAAAAAAAAGAAATAATGAATTATAATATTAAATCATAACATTAAATTATGTTAAATTATATAATAAATTATCATATTTATTGGAATGTTTTATACGATTACTGCATTTTTTATACAAATTTTATACGAAAAACCGGGTAGTACCCGGATCTGAGATTATCGAAAAGAAACAAAATAATCCGACTAGTGGGATAAATCCATATTGTTTGCTAGTGTTTGTTAAAGGCATAATAAGCTGGACAAAAAAACAGGTTTTAATAATTGTAATAACCTATAAATATGTCTAGTTTAAAAACAAAAGAGCATTAGAGAGTTGATATAGTAAGTCAAACCAGGGATGTCCACCCTTCAAGGCTAATGGGGACATCCCCTCAAAAACTCAGAAAAGTCCCTCCCTATTCCAGCAAACACAAAATATAGGTACAAAGTTTTTTATTTAAACAAACATAAACTTTTATGTAAACAAATTTTTTTTAAAAATTACATAATATATCTTCTATGATAGTATATTATCATATTTAATGTAACAATAAACAGTATTTTTTCAGAGAGTTCATCTTGTTATTAAGATTATTACCAAAACTGATGAAGTGTTTTCTTTTGAGACAATTATTTTAAAAATCACTTCTGAAATTTTTTTTTATTTGTACACGATTATTATATCGCAGTACGGTAGGTGAATTATTGGAATTAAGAACGCTTTTAGAACTCCTAAAGACTCCTAATAATTTATTTAAAATCTTTGTGCAAAGTTTCTTTCCGTAAACTTTAAACAAATTTTTTTCTTCCTTTTTCGCTTATTTTGCAGCCCTTTTTTGCCGATACTTTATTTTTGAGCCGTTTTTATAGTGTTTTTACCCTTCGCATTTTTTTCTATTTACCATTGATAATACCAATTCTCAAGCATGACGCTATGAAATCTAATATTTTGTACAAGCTTGACTTAGCTTTAAGCCTTTTATGCTGAGAAATTTGTATCAACTGACGTGGTTAACAACTGACGACATTTCAACTAATTTGAAAACAAAGAGAATAGGTGGATTATGAGAATGGGGTCGACCATCTCTTCACTCAAATGAAGAAATTAGCATTTTGCCAAACATTGAAGATCACTTTAAAAGCACATCTAAAAGAG